GTGTAGGATGCATACTGCGTTTAGGAACATAGGATGTGAAAGCACAGGACTACTTGCACAGCAAGTCTGGAGAGAAGGCATTCATGTCCACAGCCTGGGGCAGTATTTCTGCTGAGGTACTTTAGAACTATCTATCACTCAATGACACAGAGAAGAGCAAAAAAGCTAATTCTCTAGAAAGTGAACTTACAGATATGTATTTCAATTAAAAAATAGTTTCTGCCTTAATGACAGCCTTTTGTTATGAGCTATTATCTTGTTTAAAGCTACTATGCTCTCCAAATAGTTTTGTTTTGCATACAGTCACCAGTAAAATTTCAGAACAGCTTCTGAGCAAAAGTGATTGTGCTTAAAAACTTGGTATATTACACTATGCTGCTATGATTAACATGCAAAGTGGCAGAAATTCAAGGAGTGTGTGCTGCTTACTGCTACTAAGCAAAAGTAACAGAAATGGCAGCAAAGTTTAATCCTGCCTCCCTAGTGAAATCAGCAGTCGGGCAGAAAATCACAAAACAAATAAATGGCGTTAATGCCTTATTTTTGACCCTTCCTTTGACTAAAACATCTCTGGTCATTAGTTTACATTCAGCACAAAGGTTACCTGCCTAAAGAAGCTTATTTCAGAGATGCCCTATAGACTACTTGCCAATAGATAAAAATCTATGTCCCCTGCCTAAGAACTAAATACAACAGTTATTTCTTACCATCCCTGGCCACCAAAGCCTCAGGAGGCTGACTCATAGGCAGAAGGAACCTATCAGCAACCTCACCGTGCTGCTTCACAAGGCATTAAACAGAGAAGACTGAGGCGTGAGTCACACATGTGACCCAGTGCATAGGAAAGCCCCATCCACCAGCAGTGGCACCTCGCTGCTGCCAAACCTGGCCTGTCAAAACAGAGGAAAGCAGCATTTGACTGACTCGCGTTCTGCACTGTCTTTGACATGCCACATGTAAAACTGCTGTCAGGAAGCATATAATCCTCTGCAGTGGAAACTCATCCCTGCAAAGCGTGAGGCCCTGCTCTCCAAGCTGCTCTGGGAAAAGGAGGCGAGCAGACTGGATGGCAGGGGAACCAGAAGAACACACTGCTCACGAGGCAGCTCTGCAGGGCTGCCCCAGCCCATCTCACAAGTAGGACCAGGCTGCTGGGTGGGCAGCAGGTCCCATGGACCCAGAGCCAGCAGCATGCTGCCTGATGTCAGTTTAAGCATAAAGCAGCAGACCCAGGCATACAGATTCCTCCTCAGAACAATATTAAACCGCTTTCAGATTGAATCAGCATTCTATCATGTAGCATGTAAAAGCAATTACAGCAGTTCATTGCTTAATCTTAAATGAATTTCAATTGGTCGCTGGACACATCACATGGAATTCCAGTTTCAAACAGAAGAAAAATGAAAGGTTGCATCACCCTTGCCTGTTTACATCTATGGCTGCTGACAGCCTTTGCTATCTTCTGCAGCACAACAGCAAAACCTGCATGCAACACGACTATAGAGGCCACCAGTCCTCTCCTCATTTCACAGCTCCTGCCCTACATTTCAGGAAGCAATCACTGCAGCGGTTGTTTCCCTTCCTGATCGCAGGCCCCTCATCAATCTCTGCTTTGAGTGGTCAAACGATATTGCAACCATCGTCTGGATTATTTTAGAAACAGGAAAGTGTGGGCTTTACGAAAAGGGGCTGCTGGTTTCTCTAGAAGTAGCTGCTGAGTTAACGGACGGCTCCTAGGTACCACGGCATAGATATCATTTATAAATATCAGCAGATCATTTTATGTTCTGAATATGAAGTGCCTTTCAAATATTTCTGGCTTTTTATTACTATTATGACTGCTTACAAATACGCCCCTGGCCCACAGACATACACATTTGCCTTCAAAGAACCAATTTAGTTGTTAAATCTCTTGTGCATATGTTGTACTTTCCCTAAGGCTATGCAATGAAACATCGTTTTTGGATTTTTAAACCCAGAATTCTTTAATACCACTCACAGACTGCTCCTCCCCTCACAAACGAATCTCTCGTATTTGGAAGATTTCCCAACTTTACATTTGAAGCATTCCTAAGTCTGTTAACTCATAAAACCAAGACTTTTTCCATCTTACTCAACAGTCCCTATAAATGATGCAGCACGTTGCCTCAGCTCAGGGAAAGCAGTGACAGAGCAAACACCACCTCTGACAAGAGGAGATGGAGCCCTACACATCCTTCATGCTCATTAGCTCTCTGCTTTGGTTTCTATTCTGCTCATACAGCTTTTTTTTTCTCTTGAAAAACAAAATATGCTGATTACACAGCCTTCAAAAAATATAATAAAAAGAAAAAAGGATACAGCTGTGACCAATGACAAAATGAAACTTCCTTTTAGAGTAAAAGTCCTGGCTATTTTCTCATTTTAAGTACAAAACAGGAAAGCAGAGAAACAAATGTTACATCTCACTGAACAGCCTGGCTATTCCTCTCTCAGAACCTAATTCAGGTTATTCTCTGGCCTGCAGCTTTGTAAAATCTTAATTGAAATAACTGTTGGTACAAACTTTGTCTCACGGTATCACTTCAGTGCTGGCAGGCTGTTAGCAGGCAGAATATATCCCGTGAGGGGTCAGAGGTGTGGAAAAACAAACAGAGCAGCAATCTGAGGAGATGGAGGGGAGATAAAGATTTGTCACTGCATTTTTCAAGCAGGGAAAACCACCCAGACTTCTCCAGAGTCTTTTCCCACTTACTGCAGCCACTTCTGGCAACCTCTGGGGTGGGGGAAAAAAAAGAAAAGCTACTTCGGACAACTTCTTTTCTAGTTACCTGCATACAAAGACTGATAAACGTGCCACTTCTGATGCTTGGATTAGATGATCTCAGAGCTCTTTTCCAACCTTAACAATTCTATGAAATGTCCAATATGCCTCACTGGTCTCCTAACTCACAGGAAATCAGCAGAATGTGTCCTGCATATTTTAGTCATGAGCTCTTCATGTGAACTCGTATTTTACATTAGCTAGATAAAAAACTAATCAGAGCCAAAATAAGCCCAGCTCTGCAACGGTGACTAAAAATGAATGCTTCCTCTGTCTCCTCGGCATTCCACCTTGTACAATGCTGGAAAATGGGCAGATATCAGAGGCTGGATCCCATCACCTCAGGAGCTGTTAGAATTCAGCATCCACTGGATGAAAAAGTCAGCCCTACTTTTCACATTTTAGTCCTTTTTTCCTGCTGTTTCCAGATATTCTCTACCTCAACCTTCAGTACCACCACGATTGCATTAAACAATGCATCCTAAAGATTGCTAGGCACAATCTATCCAAGAGGAAGACTTGCTTTTAAATGCTGTGCAAGCCATGTTCGTAGAGGTGTGAGAAAAACCATTACTTAGGTATTAATGATCCCAATAAATTAAACCAGGTGCAATTCCTCAGTCTCCCAGGTGCAGACACCACTAACAGCAGCTCGTCTGGATTTTAATGATAAGCACTCCCGGTAAGTGGAACACACAGCTTACTTTTCTGTTTTACATAGGGATATCTTCCTTTCCATTCAGATGCTTATATTGAAAATGCTCAGCAGTGCCATACCCCATGGACTCAGTAAGTGACTGAAACAACCGCCTAGCCACAGATCTAGCACTGCCTTGCAGGCCAGGTGTGAGGCATTGAGAGCTCCTGCTCATCAAATCAAGGCTGTCCCAGCAGAATAGTGAATACTTCCTAGAGTAATGCACACCCCTGGGACTATGGGCAAGCCGTCTTCCCCACCTCAGTGACAAAATGTGCAGCAGCAACTTAGCTCAGAGCACTGTAAATGGCACAAGGGGACAACAAGTTTAACACTGACCATGGGAGTTCAATACTAAGCACTGCTTCGGGCAGGCAGTGCACTGCACCCTGAGTGAAGGTACGAGAAGGCATTTACAGAGACGTTAACTGACATTCAAGCTGGAAAATGTTAATTCAGGCCCTGATAGGCTTCCTACATGTTCTGCTGTACGCAGCAGGGACTCAAGATTTGCTCTGCTTAAAGCTGAAGCTTAGGAGGCTCATTTAAAACCCAAACTTTCGGTTCAAGACTTAAAAGCAGGAGAAGCACACCAGCTGACCCTGAGCTGCAGGGCAGCGGCTGGGGTCGTTCCACACCGGTCCGCTCCAGAACAAGGCCTCATCCTGCTGCCACCCACCGCCGTTTCGTGGGGTTACCAAGGGGCAAACACACAGCCTTTGACGGAAAAACGCGTATCTGTGTGTGTGCGAGGCTGGTGTGCGCTGTGGCTGAGGCACAGCGTGTCCCTCACAGCAGCCCTATCGTGTACGTGTCCCGAAGGCACACAGGTGTGCAGGCGGCACGGAGCAGCACCCCGCCGCCCTCGCCCTGCTTCAGCTGCCCGGAACCGGGGGGGCTCAGCAGCCGGCCCACCCCCCACACAGCTTCCTGGGGAGTCTGGGGGCATTTTGTGGGTCCACCACAGTTCCTCCCCGCCGCCGGATTGAGCCGCAGCCGTTCGCCTTAAAAGGGCAAAATATCTGCGGAGAAACGGCAGCGGGGAGTCGGGAAGAGGGTCCCGGGGCGGCGGCGGGGCTGAGCCACGGCTGCCCTCCCCTCCAGCCAGCCAGCCATCCCTAGCGGGGCGGTTGCCAGGAGACGGCGGGGCACAGCAGGGCGGGCAGGGTGAGGCGGCGGAGTCCCGCCGTGCCGGAGCAGCGAGCGGCCCCGCGGAGGGCGATGGGGAGCGGCCGGACAGCGGCGCGGCTTTGGTATCTTTGATAGGAAGGGGTCCGATGCCGCTGCGCGGCGGGAGGCAGCGCCCGCCAGGTGCCACACGTGGCCGCGTCCCGGAGCCGGGCGCGAATAGAGAGCTGCGGTAAAGGTGGAAAAAGCCCGGAGGACGGCAGCCGCCCCGGCACCGCGCGCCGCCCGGCCCCTCCCGCAGCCCCGCCGCCCGCCGAGCCCTCCGCTCGCAACTTTCCCTCCGCCGCGGGCAGGCGGGCGGGCGCTGCTTACTGCGGGCTCTTGGGGTAGAAGGGGAGCGTGACGTGGCTGAGGTCCTGGATGTCGAAGGCGGTGGGCTCGGCCGAGATCGCCTGCCGCTTGGTCCGCTGCTCGCCCTGCAGACTGCGGGCGCTCTGCTGCTGCGCCTGCCGCGTGGCGGGCCGGATCACCGAGCGGTACTTGTCCAGCTCGTTCTGCAGCTTCTGGATCAGCTCGTCCTTCTGGTCCAGCTCCAGCTCCAGCTCGTCGATCAGCGCATCCCGCTGCCGCAGCTCCTCGATTTTCTCCTGCAGCGCGTACTGTAAATCCCGCAACGTGCCCATGCTCCCCGCTCGCCCAGAGCCTCTCCCGACAACTTTCCACTGGGAGCCACCCGGCGCTCGGCCCGACTTCCCCGCGCCCCCTCCGGCCCGGGGCCCCTCGGCCGGCCCCCCCCCCGCGGCCCCGGAGCCGGCTCGGCGCGGGGCGCTCCCGATCCGCCTGCGCCCGGCGAGGCTGCGAGGCGGCGGGAGGCAGCTGGCACGCGCTGGCGGGCGGGCGGCGGGGCGGAGGGAGGCGGCGGGCGGGCGGGCAGGGGCGAGCGCGCCGAGGCAGTGCCGCCTGACGGGGCCGGGGGCAGCTCCGGGGGCCGCGGGGGGAGCCCCCGCCGCGGGCCCCCCCCTCCCCGGCCTCGGCTGGCGGGGGGAGGCCGCCCGGAGAGCCCGGCCCCGGGGCGGCAGCGGCTGGGCGGGTCCCCGCCTCGCGGCGGGCGCTCACCTCTAAGCCCTCCCCTCCCGCTCCCGCCGCCGTACTTTTCCTTTTTAATAACTGGTGAATCGGGGCTTTCTGCTCCCGGTGGCACGGCTCCCGCTCAGCCTGGCTGTTTCAGTGGGGATACCGGCCAAGCGGCCGTGCTGGAACGGTGGGGCGTGCGAGGCTCAGAGCGCTAAAATAAGTTGAAGCCGGGGCAGCAGGTTCCGTGTAGCCCCGCTGCTTCCACAAGTGCCGGCTTCTGCCTTCCCAAACCCACCAGCCTTTTCTCAGCAGTGAGACACCGCTGCACACCAGGCTCTGCCCGTGCCGTGCCGTTTGCGGGGCTGTGACACAAAAATAAGAAATCGAGGAGCCACGTTGGCACCAAATGGCTCCGTTTGTCTCCGTGCACGAGGGGAACAGCTGGGCACCGTGACAGCACTGCTCCCAGGCCTCAGAGAGGGGCCGTGGGCACACTGTGCTGGGCTTTCTGGTAACGCTGCACCACGGGGAGGAATCAGGTAAAATCCCTGCAGCACAGCTGGACAGAGCCTGGGCCCTGCCTGAGGCAGCATGACTGGGCCACAGTTTCCTTCCCAGGAGGTTGGTGTGAGGAGGAGAGAGTAAGGATGCAGCCGTGGATGGGTTCTGCAGTGTATTTTACCTACGCAGCAGCAGGCAATGCCAACCTCCTTGTAGGGCATGAGCAGGCAGCAAGAGAGACCCAGACAGTGTTTATGGAGTTGTTTTGCTCTTTTTGGCATCGCATAGCAGCACTTGGTTGTATCCAAAGTTCCAGCTTTGACCCTGAAGATGGTCTTATAAAATTAAAAAATCAAACAAGAATGGAGAAGGAATGGCAGCTACTCCCTGTCCAGCATTGCTGCTTGAAAGGGCCTGGGCTCTGCTCAGAAACCTGGAGTAGGGATCTGCAGGTTGGCCAACATACTTGGTACCTCCATTTTGCAAGATGCACATGCAAAAATAATTTATAAAAAAGGTTATGCTAAATGCTTCTTCTTGACACTCCTGTGCCAGGCACAAAAGCAAAGTTCCCTGGCTGCTTTCATGGGTTGCCGCCATGCTTTAAGTTCAGGCAGTGCTTTTTGTACAGTCCCTCCATTGCAACCTTCCATAACTCACTGGGAACAAAAGTACCAAATATCTTCTGAACATTTCCATTTTAAATATGACTGGTGTTAAATAGATGCATGTGTGCTGCCTGCAAACTAGAAGTCAGTGATAAAACAAATGTAATAGCATGGAACAAATATGCTTACAGTCTTACTGTTTTCCTCTCCCCAGAAGCAGTGTGGCCCCCCGGACGAGGAAGATGCGATACAGCTAGCTGAAGCCCACCAGGTTCCCAGAGAACAACAATCCTAGGGGAAACTCATGTATAATTTCTCAATGACAAGCACTAAAGCCACACTGCTCAGTTCTTACTGGAGGTACACAGCCTGCAACTGAGACAACATTACAGAGATAAGAAAGGATGCAGAGAAAAACATGAGAAATTATGAGAAATAAAACTGGCACGGAATGTAAGTATATGTAAAGGGGATCTTTGTTTACAGGTGGAAGACAAGTTTGCATAAAACCTAGAGGAGAGACTATGGCTCAATTTTAGATCTGTGGCTATAACCAGTAAACTTGTGGCTGGTCTTCCCTGGTTACCAGAGACTGAAGCACTCTAAAGATCTTCTTAAGCTGCCAGCTGAGCTCTGCCGCCCAAAAGCAGCAGCAGGTTTCCTGTTTTTGGTAAAGAACACCTCAGGTAGGTGCTACCACCCCCCTCCATAAATTTTCCTGTCCCAGTGCTCCCAACTTCATGTTCCCATCAAAAAATCACAGGCTCTCCAAGCAGCTGCTTTGTCTTCCTGAGCCTCTGAATGGAAAGAAATGGCTCTGCAGAGAAGAATGGCAGGAATGCACAGACTGGATCAGCTGCAGGAGAACGGGGTGAGGCTGCATGCAGTTTGTTAAGGGAGTAGTCATCATCCTAAAGTGTATTTCTACCCGGCCGTTGCAATGCTGTGCCTTGCCTTGCCCAAGAAAAAAAAAAAATAGAGCATCTGCAATCTACCTGTCCCAAAACACTACAGCATGGCTCGCTGATTGGAATCACAGGCAGCCCCACGAAGCACAGCTGTGCCATTCCTGCCTCTCCCCAGAATGGCTTTGATGTGCTCACAGTAACTCCCTTCTGCACAACTCCTGAGTTTTAATAGCTTTCACTTTCAAGGATCATCTGCCATCAAATGTACCCACTCAGCTGCCATTTTCCAAGCAAAAAAGCTCCCCACTCTGCAAGCACCTCCCAGGCTCACTATGACAGGCTCAAGTAGCATACAGGATGGCTAGCAGGCAAATGCCACCTTGCTGCTGTGGCCAGGGCAGTGCATAAGGAGAAGCTAAGGATGCACTGCTGAGCACATACATAAACCTCTTTCTCCTCATAGAAGATTATTTGTCTTTTTTCTACAAGCCATTCCTTTCTCCCTTTCATAAGGATCCAAGGGAGCAGCTCAGCCTGCAGAAGAAGGTGGAACTACTTGGGTTTTATGATGTTGGCCAGGACTTTGGGCAAGGTGCGAGACCCATGGGAAAGAGGTAAATGCATTCCCAGTGGGTAACACCTTTCTGATGTGAAGAAGCAAAAATACAAGACCACCTAGAAGAGAGCAGCACACATATGCAAAACACATGCATAAAACTCATCTATTGGTCAGCCAAGGTTATAATCTCCCTTACATTTAGCATAGAGTGAGGAGGGGGATGGTGTTCAACAGCAATGGGTACAGCTCCATCTGTGAACAAGCTCCTCCTTTTTACCTTCCCACGTTACCAGGACAGTTGACCATTCTTTTCACTTCCTGCCCCAAACAAGTTGCCTCCAGCACCTCCTTCTGGTCCTGCAGATTTGAAGGGGAGGGCTGGGAAATAGTTCAGCTCTGAAGGATGATGATGAAATTGGACCTATTGCATCAAAGCAGCCTTGCTAAGACTATGGAGCAGGAACTGGTAATATTTGGAAAGTACCTCAGCCCCACTTCTCTCTGAAAATAAGCCCCGCTTTCTCCTGGCATTGGACATTCCTCATTTCTGGAGCCTTTGAAAGTGAGACCTGGACCCGCTTGTCCCTCCCCACCACAAGGATGGAGAGACCCAGGGCTGGGAATTCTTCCAGCCAGTGCTCTCTCTTAAACCCCATTGAGTCCTAAAGGCTGGAAGTAACACATCAAATGGATCTCAAGGTTGTTGGTTTTTTTTTCTTTAGTATGTAGATTTTTTCCATTATCAGTAAGAAGCACTAAGAAGAAGCTCTTGTAAGGAGAGTGCAACTGCTCCAGACTACCGTAGGAAATCTTCCCAGTATAAGGATCATTTGGAGCAAATAAAGTGCATGAGAAAAATACCCCAAGGTTTAATAATGGTAACAAAAAAAGGCATGCTGCAAAGACAAGAAGGAATAATAATGTGCTGTATGGTAATTGGTAAAACATTTAGCTTTTTATATCACATTAGGAGCATACTTAATAATGCAGAAATGAATGCTGGTGTCACGCAAAGCAAATTGATGGTCCCTGATAAGTGTAAAACCACACAGAATTACCCATGCAATACAATAGGGCAGTTTCAGCCCTCCCTCCCTTTTCACACACACACGTGGGTGCCACAATCAGACCTAAAATTCAAGTCTCCTGTTCTTCATGGGCGAAGGATGTACTGGAAAGATAGGGCATAATTCTTCGATCCTTGTTTTTCAGTGTCACAGCTAGGTGGGTTGTAGAGCCAAAACGATAGAGCACCATTTATAGGAGGAACACCAGCTTTATGCCTATGTGACAAAATCAATTATTCCCAATATTCAACACAATACAAAGCCTCTTCCATTGGAACAACAAGTTCCTCTGGCTTCCTTCTCTCAGCTATGTTCCCTGCTCACACCTTCCCAGCCTATGTGTCTCCAGAAACCACAGACCCAGCATCTGGCATGCTTTGGCTGAAAAGTGTCTCTGTAACACACAATGGCAAAGAAGGCTGGATTTTCAACAGCTTGCCCCATCAGATGCCCGTGGTGGTGGGTCTCCCTCCCCTTCCTTCAGTGCCACTCACAGGTCCCTGTGAGGTAGGAGAGGATACCAGGTAGCACCTCCTTAGATGAAGCCTTTGGAAGTGAGCTTTCTCCAGGAGAAAGCAAACACATTTTCACACACTCTTGAGACTATAGACAGCAAGTGAGGACCTCTGTCTCTCCACTCCTTGAACAGCTCCAGCAGGTTTTTCCCCACCTGCCAAGGCCAGACCTAGGCATATCTCACTACAGGCTGGGTTAAGCTTCAAAATGATTCAGCTTCCTTAAGAAATCTTGTGTTAAGCTCATGTTAAATAGCAACTTGTTCTGAAAACCACCAAAGTAAATACTTGGTGCTGCTTTGCAGTCGTTACAATTAAACACTGTCTATGCCTCTGCTTTTCTCAGCAGTCCCAGTGTACTTACTATGTAGAGCAAAAGCAGCATTTAGGCAAGGAGAGCCCTGGCAATGTTGTTTTCTTGCTTTCAGCCTTAAGCTACCAGCAAATGATCCAAGGAACCAATTAAACAAAGTGCAGGGAAAAAGATCTTGGATCTTGGATCAGGTCTTGGAGCCCTGATATCCAGGATATCAAG